GGCCACCCTTCTGAGTGACCCACAGCTGATTCCAGGTTGCTGCTTTTGCCTCTTCCCATATAACAGGTCCCCCTTGCTTTCTCCCCACCACCAAGCCCTGTCACCCCACAGTTCCACACAAGGGGCCCACCCTGCCTGTCCCCTTCTCGGGGTCACCCTGTCCCCCTGCACTCCTATGCCACAGCCAAGGTCCCTGCTCTGGCCCCAGCCCCCCAGAACCTGCCCTGCAGGTACCGCTCCTCCCCTCACCCCCATGCAGGCCAGGGCTGTACCCCAGTACAGATCCCTCTCTCCCCAGTGCCCAAGCCCTTTGCTCCCACCCCAAACTGGGCCAGCACCCCCTGGCCCACACCTGCCACCCCCAGACTGGACCAGCCCCCTCGGGGGTACCAATCTCCCTCTCTGCCACTGAATGGGGACAAGCCCCACTTCCCAGTTACCGTCACACTGGACCAGTTCCAGCTTTCCCAGCACAACCCCCACCTGTGGGGCCAAAGCCGGGTCCCGGTCTTGTGTGTTCCCCCCACAACCAAGAGCTTCTCCTCCCAACGGAGGGCTGCTCCCCGAACCAGAGGCTGCATCCCCCCCTCAACCGGGGCTGGGCCCCCCGACCAGGGGCTACTGCTGCCCACAGACCGGGGAGGCTCTCACCCTGCAACCGGGAGCTGCTCCCCTGAACCAGGGGCTGATACCCCCACAGAACCACGGGCTGTTCTCCCCCTGAACCAGGGCCTGTTCTCCCCCAGCACCACGGGCTGTGCTCCCCGTGAACCACGGGCTGTTCACCCCCTGAACCAGGGCCTGTTCTCCCCCTGAACCACGGGCTGTTCTCCCCCAGCACCACGGGCTGTGCTCCCCCCAGAACCACGGGCTGTGCTCCCCCCAGCACCACGGGCTGTTCACCCCCAGCACCACGGGCTGTGCTCTCCCCCAGCCGGGAGCTGCTCCTTGCTCCCAGCACAGGCTGTTCCCCAGCAGGGGAGGGCTCCTGCCAGCAACCGGGGGCTGCCTCCCCCGCCACAGCCGGGGACTGCTCGCCCTAACACGGATCTGATCCCCCGCTCCCCTCGCTACCTTCTTGGGTGCCTTGGTGACGGTGGCCATGAAGGAATATTTCTCAGCGTCCTCCACCTCCTTGGCCTGTTTCTCCTCGCCGCCGGCGGGCTCCGGCACCGACATCCTGATGCGGCGGTGAACGCGGGGCGGGCCGCGGCCGCCGGCGGGACGAAAGGGGGCACGGTCCGGCGGGGCGGACGGGGGAGCACCGCGGACGGCTCCGGCTCTGGCTCGGTCCGGCCCGGCCGGTCCCTCACGCTCGCTGCGCTGCCGCCGGCGCCGTGCCTGCGGCGGGTCTGCGGCCGCCGCGCCAGGGGCGGGGCCTCGGGACGTCACCGCGCCGTGACGCCACCGCGCACTCGCCGGGGTGCCGAGGCAGAGGGGAGCGGGAGAGCGTCAGGGCGCCCCCTGGAGGACAAGGAGGGGAGGGCGCTGGGGGCGGGGCCAGATGTGGGGGCGTGGTCATAATGCGGGGGGCGTGGTCATGAGATGGGACGTGGTCACGGTGTGGGGGCGTGGTCAAACAGGGGCGTGGAACCTCAGCGCCGGCCAAATCCCAATTAACCACAATAATTACATAACTTAAACAAAGTTATATATAACTGTTTATAGAAGCATTATATTTAAACAATAAAACTAATTAAATTAATTACTTAGACTAAATGAAGTAACTATAAAGATTAATTTGATTCAATAAATAGCAACCATATATATGAAATATTAATTATATATAAAGGCGCAAAAATATGTTAATTTATTTATAAGATATACATTATAGATGTTCATTTATAACAGATATAAGTTATATACGTTATATATGTTAACCTATTTATTAATTATATGCATTTACATTTACAAGTGATTATAGAACTGCAAAATTATTATAAACTCATTTCATGCATATATATAATGTGCATAAATTTATACGTTGAATAACTGAATTATATATATTTAATTCAAAAATTATATGACTTTTTTCTAAATAAATTCAGAAACTAAATAAGTTACATAAATTAATTGGTTAATTAGTTGGGAAACAAAAACTGAAGCTAAAGAATGAGGCTTTTCAGGGTAAAAAACAAAAATGGTGTTTTCTCAGAGGGAAGAATAAAGCAGGAGGAAAAACACGATTAATCAGGAAAATAGTTTGAATAAAACAGGGCTAAAAGTAAATCGGTGAAAAAATAAAATATCAAGGAGTGTGTCCGGCTCCAGAGCTGTGTGTGCCCATGCCCAGGTGTGTATCCAGTCCCAGGTGTGTGTGTGCCCACCCCCAGGCGTGTGTGTGCCCATCCCCAGGTGTGTGTGTGCCCAGTCTCAGGTGTGTGTGTGTGCCCATCCCAGGTGTGTGTGCCCATCCCCAGCTGTGTGTGTGCCCGATCCCAGGTGTGCCCATCCCAGGTGTGTGTGCCCATCCCCAGCTGTGTGCCCGGTCCCAGGTGTGTGTGTGCCCATCCGCACGTGTGTTAACCCCCTCGGTGCCGGTTCCCTGGCCCCGGACAGGCTTGGCCGTTCTGGCCCCGCGGTCCCGGCTCGGTGCCAGCCCGGGGTCAGGGCAGTGCCCTCCCGGCCCTCATTACCCATTAACGAGCCGAGCGGAGCCACTGCATCCCTGCACTCACACGCCCATGTGCCCGGCCCAGCTTGGGGGTGCTGAGCACTTTTGGGGGTGCTGAGCACTTTTTTTGGGGTCGCTGAGCAGTGTTTGGGGTCGTTGAGCACTTTTTGGGGGTGCTGAGCCTGGCCAGGCCTTCCTCCCGCACTCCTCCTCCTCACCCTCCTGCAGCGGGCTCTGCATTCCAGGGAGGGTCACAACCTACCTGTCCCCGGTTCAGGGACACTGAGGGGCTCCAGAGAGTCCCCACACGGGCTCTGGGGACATTCCAGGACAGACAGACAGGCGGGGCTCTGATCCCGGGCCACCCCGACGCCATCCCAAACGCCCCTCAGGCAGCCGGGACGGGTTAGGCCTGAGTCCTGCTCCTCCTTCACTTCCCCGGGGCTGTTCCCTTAAAATCCAAGCTGGGAAAACATCCGCGTGTGGGTTAAAACCCATGGGGGAAACAGCAGATAACGGTTTTTAACCAAAATCACTTTGTCTGGCCACAAAACGGCCTCTGGGCACCTAAATCCTGCAGCAGTTCCCGGGCCAAACCCCTGTCCCGGAGCCGCCGTGCCCCGGGCCCGCGGGGCCTTTCCGCCGCTCCTGCCCCGTCAGCAGCTCTGCGGTGGCGCTGGGGACGCTCCCAGGGCGGGCAGAGCTCTCTGGGGGCTCCTGCCGGGGGTCTCAGCACATCCTGGGGGGGTCTCCGAGTGCTTGGGAGGTTTTGGAACAACGGGATGAGCCTGAGATGTCCCAGCCCTGCCAATGCCGCAAGCAGCAGGGGTGTGGGGACCCCGGTGACCACAGTCTGTGCCACTCCGTGCCAGCCTGTGCTCCAGGTCCTTGCTGATGCTTTCCCCTCCCACCATCCATCTTTTCCCTCAAACCCCCTGTTCTCATCCCATCAAAGCTCCTTTCTGCAGTGCCAAACCCACCCCATGAGGGACCTCCAGGTGCCCCCACCCTCCATGCCCCAGAATGGGGGGTTCTTTTCTATCCTCCCCTACGAGTGCTGAGGGACAGGGATGGAGGCCCATGGGGTTCCTGAGTGGGGGGCTGAGAGCAGATTTTGCCCCCCAGATTGCAAGGGCTGGGGGTGAAAGGTGCCCAGAGCAGGAAATCACATCCTGCCCCCACACAGGGTGGGGAAAAGGCCCCAGCTGGGAACATGAGGAGAAGAGGGACCCTCCTGACCTGAACCCAAGGGCAGGGAGACAGAGTTCAGCTTTTTTCCTGCATTTTCCAGTACACAGAGCAGCCAGAAAAGGTCAGGGACAAGGGACTGTGGGGTGTAAGTACAGAGGGGTTGGGGACTGGTGAAAAAATAAAATATGCCAGGCAGCCTGGCATGCTCTCACCTCTGCCCCTCAGATCTACCACAGCCTCAATCTGCCATCATCCAGCTCCAGCCATCATCTCCTGTGCAGCTCTGGAGCACCCTGGAGCATCCTGGGGCACCCTGGAACATCCTGGAGCAGGCCAGGGACTCGCTGCCCTCAGCACCCCCAAACCCGGGCATAGTGCCCACCCCTAAGAGCAGCCTCTGGCCTCGAACACCCCCCAGATGTGACCATAATGACCGTGGCACGGATCCAGCAGGATATATATAGGTCCCACTTCCCTGGGAAGGGGATGTGGACCTGGGAAACCCCCGGCTGCTGCTGGGGAGAGGAAGGGCTGGGCTGAGTCAGCTCCCCTCGAGGAATCCTGTTTGTCAGCAAACAGGGCAGCAGCTCAACCCTGGCACTCGCAGAAGGCTCCTAAATCCCCTCCTGCCCTTGCCACCCCCTTGGATGAGCAATGGGGGTGTTCACGCTGCACACCCCATGGGCTGGTAGGGACTAAGAGTGATGTGGGAGCCCCAAGCATCGCCCTGGAGATGCTGGATGTGTGCAGGGGGAGCAGGATGTGGGGCTCCCCTGCTCCTGGAAAGAAGGAAGGGACGCAGGGGGAGCAGCAGGAGGGGAGGAAATGCCTCTTCCAGGACTGTCACTCAAAGCAAAGTGCTCCAGGAAACTTTGCTTCAAGTGTGTTTGCTTTAAACAGCTGCTTCCCAACCGTTCACACAGATTTTGGGGGGCCCCCCGGCACCAGAGCTGGTGCCTGGAGGTCTCAGCAATGCCAGCAGAGCTGGGGCAGGAAGGGCAAATAAATCCCTCTGCCCTCATTCCAGTGGCCATGAACTCCCACATGCATCCACAGAGAAGCAGGTCAGGGTAAAAATACCAGAACTCAACCCCAATCACCTCCTCAGGGACCCCAGGGCTGAGACAGCTCAGTCCCCCCCTTGCATCCCACACTTACACCAAGCTACACCTCTCTGTTTATTAATAATATTAAATATACAAGTTGTTTTCCATTATTTTCTTTAAATAGACTTTTAAATGCCTTTGTATAAAATATTTCAGGATTTCATTGTATAAAAAAAAAAAAAAAAAAAACAAACCCATCCCAAAACCAACAAAAAAGCCCCAACCAAACAACAACAACAACAAAAAAAGGCAAAATAAATCCAACATGGGTAAAGGCAAGTTTTCTCCCCCAGGAGCAGCTCCTCCACAGTGTAAACTGGTGACTTACACCACCAGGAGTTTGGCTCCAGACTTCCTGCACATCAGGGCTTTTATCCTGATTTACACCAGTCCCTCGCCCAGGAACCCCCTCCTTCTGCCAGTCATAAATACGCACACATATATATATATATTTATATAAAAAAACCCTAATTAATAGTGATGCTTTCTTTAAAAACAGTTGGGTTTGTCCATATTTTCATCCTTCATATAAAAATAATGCTTGAAACTCCCAGAGCAGCGCAGGGGCCACGCTTCATCCGGGGCTGGAGGGAGCCATTGGATTTTAGGGCATCTCCAGGGCTTGTGTGTCCCAAACCAGGCTCTTCCCAAAGCCCCAGGGTGCCCAGCTGGGGCAGTTCCAGCTCTTACACCCACGTGGATCCCATCTTTCCCAGCCCCATTCCCTTCTCCAAAGCGCAGTCACCAAAGAAATGGAATCCCAGCGAGGCCAGCTCGTGGTGAGGACCCTGTGAGGGGCACACGGCCCCCCCCAGAACACTTGTGCAGGATAAAGACTTTCATCCACTCTACTAAAAAATAAAAAATAAGCCCTAACAACAGGAGGATGGGGAGGGGCTGGGATGGTGCCAAGGGTCACCCCAAACCCAGCCCCGTGCAGGGACGGGTGGGCTTTAAATATTCACAGTGTGAGGGTTTGAGTTGCAAGTCAGGGCTGGGGGTCCCCCCAGAATTCAGGATGCTCCAGTTGAAGCCTCAGGAAAGGCAGGGTGAAGAGGGGCGGTGGGTGCTGCTCCAAACCCACTCTGCTGGGATGGGAGAAGAGCCAGAGGATTTGGGGAGCCGATCCCTTCCATCTTCATCCAGCTCTGGCCGTGTCCAAACTGGATCAGCTCCATCACCCACATCCAGCACTCCATGGTCCTGCTCAGCACCGCAGCGTCACACCAGCCTGCAGGCATGGCTCCAGCCCTTCTTCGCTTCCTGCTGCCCAGGGGTCCCACTCAGGGCACATCCCCCCATCCTTCTGTCCCTGCCAGGGAGTTTTTTGCAGTCTCTGGCCACGGGCACGGGGCGAGGGCAGAGGGAGTGTCAGCGTCACGGTGGGATCGCGGCGAGGCCGGCGCGTGCCAACCCTCCTTCCGTCCGCATCCGTCCCCCGAGCAGCTTCACATCCTGCCTGGGGCCCTGGGAAAAGGAGCAGAGAGATGAGCAGGAGCTGGGGCTCTGCCAGGGAGGGCAGCGTGGGGAGAAACACACCAAAACCACAGGAAAAAATACTATGTATATTAAGAAAGTGCCAGTAATGGATTAACGAGCTGCGAAACCACATGCTGGCAGCGCCGGGGCGCAGACCTGCTCCTGTCCGTGTCTTCCCACCCAGAATTTCCCTGCCCATGGAAAGGTCAGCACCGATGGGGACACAATTTTGTCCTCACCCAGCCCCTGATCACCTCAGAGATCCTGAGTCTCCAGCTCTGAACATTCCCTTGCTCCCTGCAGCGCCCTGTGACAGAAAGATGGGGGGGTTTAGAGCAGGGTCACCCAGAGTGGGGGTCCCCAAAGCCCCCCCATGAAGGTCACACCCACCTCCTCTCTGGCTCCTCGGGGTCGCAGCCTCCATCCTCCAGCGGCCGCTGCAGGACCTGTGTGGAGGGAGGGAGATGAGCCCTGGGGAAGGGGAGGAGGGTGGCAAATATCCCAAATAACATCCTCCCACCATGCTCAGCACCACCAACTAATTGTCCTCCAGTCTCAAAATTATAGGAAAATTATAGGGGAAATGGGGATTGGCCCACAGTGGCCAAGAGACAACTGGGGAAACTGAGGCAGGATCTTGGTGCCTGGGGAGGAGTTGAGGTGGGTGAGGGAAATGAGCCCTGGGGAAGGGGAGCAGCAGGGTGGCAAATCTCTCAAATAACATCCTCCCACCACACTCAGCACCACCAATTAATTGTCCTCCAGTCTCAAAATTATGGGGAAATGGGGCTGAAACCACACTGACCAAGAGACAAGTGGGGAAACTGAGGCAGGATTTTTCTGCCCAGAGAAGAGACGAGGTGGGGAAGGGAAATGAGCCCTGGGGAAGGGGAGGAGGCTGCAGCAGCAGGGTGGCAAATATCTCAAATAACATCCTCCCACCACGCCCAACACCACCAATTAATTTTCCCCCAGTCTTAAAATTATAGGGGAAATGGGGCTCAACACAGAGTGGACAAGAGACAAGTGAGGAAACTGAGGCAGGAGAGAATCTTGGCGCCCAGGCAAGAGACGAGGTGGGTAAGGGAAATGAGCCTGGGGAAGGGGAGGAGGCTGCGCCATCAGGGTGGCAAATTTCCCAAATAACTCCCTCCCACTATGCTCAGAACCACCAATTAATTGTCCTCCACTCTCAAAATTATGGGGAAAATAGGGCTCAACCCATGCTGGTGAAGAGAGAAATGAGGAAACTGAGGCAAGAGGGAAACTTGGTGCCCGGGGCAGAGATGAGGTGGAGTCTTACCCCAAAATTATGGGGAAAATGGGGCTCAACCCACACTGGCCAGGAGACAAGAGGGGAAACTGAGGCAGGAGAGAATCTCGGTGCCCTTGGAGGAGGTGAGGTGGGGTCTTACCCTGGATTTATACTTGTAGAAGAGCAGCCCTCCCGTGGCCAGCAGGACGGCCACCACACTGGCCACCGTAATGTAGATGAGGGGCTCCTGGCGGCCCTCGCTGGCGGGCGGCTCCTTCCTGCGCTGCTCTGCGCCCAGAACAAAGGCAGAGTCAAAGCTGGGCCCGGCCCCGCCGCCATCCTCGGGGCCTCTCAGCCGGCTGAGCCCCCAGCCCCACGCCCTGGCCCTGTCCCTGCCCGGGGCTCGCAGCTCCGGGGCCATCCTGGAGAAGCGGAGCTGCGTGACCGCCGCGGGGCGGATCCGGGCTGCGCCGGGCGATGCCGTCGGAGGGCTGGTCCTGAGCCCGCCGCGCTGCTCCGGGAGGATGGAGCCTCCCCACTGCTGGCCTGGATCCTGCGGCAGGGGCCCGGTGCCCCACTCCACCAGCTCTCCATCCCCGCGGAGGACGGGGATGTCACCCGGCGCCAGGCTCAGCGTCCCGGCCGGATCCTGGAGGGCTTCGGCACTGCTGCCTGGAGCTGTCTGCTTCATCCCGGGGGCCAGCGCTGTGTCACCTAGCCCGGCAGCCGGGACCTCCTCGGTCCCTGAGCCCCCGTCCGTGCTACTGGGGGGCTGAGATGGGGCCTCTAAGTCAGCGAGGGTGGCATGGAGGAGGCTGGAAGGGACCCGGGTGCTAGCGGGTGCCGTGTCCCTGCCAGCGGCAGCAGAGAGGGAGGGCTGGGTGGCAGAAGGGAGGGCAGGGGACAGGCAATTGCAGTCAGGATCTGTCCCCACACCTGAAAGAAGGAGAGAGAAGAGACAGCCGTGGGGTCACCAGCCTCCAAGAGGGGCACAGGCAGCAGATCTGAGGTCGGGGGCATTGTCCCCGTCCCTCCCCGCAGCCCCAGGCAAGCGGGTCAAACAGCCCCTCAAAAACTGGGAGAGGCAGGGAACAGGCAGGAGCAGCGTGAGGGTGACAAGCAGTGGGTGGGATGAAGCAAACCCGAGTCACCGGGTCCCCTGAGTTGGTGGCAGTGCATTAGTCACAACTTGCAGGAGCCGGAGAGCCACGTTTAAGGTCCCCACGGCACAAGGACATGGCACAGCTCCGACATGGGGTGACACTGGGACATCTCCTCCATGCACACACAGCACGGGCGCTCGCGGAAGCGCGGACGGCAACACAGGGCTCCTCCAGCCCGGCAGCAACACTCGCCCCAAAGGCTTGGCCATGGGAAACTGAGGCACGAGGCAGCTGAAGTGACACAGCCAAGGTCATGCAGCGTGTTGGTGGCACAGCAGTCCCTCCATTTCTGTTATGCTCCACCCGGCATTGGAGCTCTGAGATCGAGCCCAATGCCTCCTTGGTCCCCCTCACATCTCTCCCTTGCCTTGTTCCAGCAGGATTTAGCCCAAATCCCACCTTCAAATGGCAGCCAGCCCCTTCTCCCCCGACACTGATGCAGAGCTCGCTGACACAGGAAAGGGGCCAAGGTGGACACGTACCACACCCACAGACACACGACTCTTAAGGTGCTCCATGCAGCGAGCCCAAGCCCCCCAGACTGGCACAGGTTTGCTGGGCAGAGGCCAAGCCTTGGCATCTCACCTGGTGAGGATCCAGCCTTCTTGGGTCCCAGGCACACCCTGCGATAGACTCGGCTGCAATCCTTTGCAAAAGTCTCCTGTTCCTCCAGCAGGCGCTTGATGTCCTGGAAGAAATCCTTCACCAGAACCAGCATCTCGTAGGGGGACGTGGTGAACTCCTTGAAGCACATCTGTGAGAGCTGGAGGAAGCACCAGGCCCAGCATCAGCTCCGTGACCGAACAGTGTCACCCCCACAGATCCCACAGCGCTCCCAAGGCAGGACTTGCTGGTTCCTCGTGGCTCCATGTCCATGCACAGCCCAGCTCTGCTCTGCTCTGCTCCACAGCCCTGCCACACACCCACCCCAGGGCACTCTGCACACCCCATTGCACCCCAGGATGCTCTGGATATCCCATTGTACCCCAGCATGCTCTACATATCCCATTGCACCTCAGGACACTCTGCACACCCCATTGCGCCCCAGGGCACTCTGCACACCCCATTGCACCCCAGGGCACTCTGGGCACCTCATTTCAACCCAGGACACTCTGGACACCCCAGCTCACCCCAAGATGCTCTGCACATCCCATTTCACCCCAAGATGCTCTGCACATCCCATTGCACCCCAGGACACTCTGCACATCCCACTTCACCCCAGAATGCTCTGGACACCCCACTTCACCCCAAGATGCTCTGGATATCCCATTTCACCCCAGCATGTTCTGGAATTCCATTTTACCCCAGCATGCTCTGCACATCCCATTTCACCCCAGGACACTCCGCACACCCCATTGCACCCCAGGGCACTCTGCGCATGCCATTCCACCCCAAGATGCTCTGGACATCCCATTGCACCCCAGAACACTCTGCACATCCCATTGCACTCCAAGATGCTCTGGACATCCCATTGCACCCCGGGATGCTCTGGACACCTCATTGCACCCCAGCATGCTCTGCACATCCCATTGTACCCCAAGATGATCTGGACACTCCACTTCACCCCAGGACACTCTGCACATCCCATTGCACTTCACAATGCTCTACCCATCCCATTGCACCCCAGGATGTTCTGGACACCCCATTTCACCCCAGGATGTTTTGGAATTCCGTTTTACCCCAGCATGCTCTGGACATCCCATTGCACTGCAGGACCTCCTGCACATCCCATTGCACCTCAGAATGCTCTGCTCATCCCATTGCACCCCAGCATCCTCTGGACACCCCATTGCACCCCAAGATGCTCTGCTCATTCCATTTCACCCCAGGACACTCTGCACATCCAAATGCACCCCAAGACGCTCTGAACACCCCATTTCACTCCAGCGTGTTCTGGACACCACATTTCACCCCAGAATTCTCTGGACACCCCATTTCACCCCAAAATGCTCTGCACATCCCATTTCACTGCAGTATGTTCTGGAATTCCGTTTCACCCCAGGACACTCTGGACATCCCATTTCACCCCTGGATGCTCTGGACACCCCATTTCACCCCAGGATGAGGACCCAGGCCCAAAGCCCCACCAGGCTGGGGTGACTGTACCATTCTCTCCTCATCATCCTCCTCCCTGATGCAGGGGTCCATGTTGTCATCGATGCTTTTGTACATCCTGCGCACCGTCTCCATCTTCTTGGCATTGGATGAGTTCTCCTTGAACTCTGTTCTCTCCAGGATCTTGCCCATCAGGGGAAAAGCAGCTTTCACATAGCAGGTGGAGTCGTTCTGCAAGGACACGGTGACAAAAAGTGACAGTGGTTACCGGATGGGCGTCCCACTCTGCCTGGGGGAAACTGAGGCACAGAGGCACCAAATGCCTTTCTACAACACCACAGGGTTCCCAAAGTGGGACCTGGAAGCCACCTGGCCAAGCAGGATGGGTCCCTCCTACAAAGGGAGATGAGAGGGGAGAGTGGGGATCTGGGGACCCCCCACCCTGCCCCAGCCAGCCCTGCTGTCTGTCCCCTACTGTCCCCAGCAAGAAACCACTCACCAACTGCATCTTGTCAATGAACTTGAAGGAGACCCTGCCCGGGTGCTGCATCTGGGTGTCAGCCTGGAAGGACAAAGCAGGATGTCACCCACATCCCCAGGGACAGCACTGAGCCCCACATATGCCATGTTCTGGGCATGGGGTGCCTGAGACCCCCAAGTCCACAGGGCGAGGAGGACTTTGCTCCCATTCCTGCTTCATCCCATCCCACCCCACACTCCTCCTCCTAAGGTTGATGCAGTGGCAGGAGTGAGCTCAGGATTCCTGCTCCCATCAGGATGTTTTACTTCCAAATTCACGGACCTTCTCCTGCCTTTCCCTGCCTGCTCCCACCCCGCCTCTCTTCCTCCTCCTCCTCCTCCTCTTCCTGCCAGCGCCACAGCGGAGCCCAGCCCTGCTTAATTCTCCTCGGCTCTCTCCCGCACCACTCTCTCCTCTAAATCCAGGCTGCAAAAGAGCATCGTGCGGTGCAGGAGGTGGCCGCGACACCAGGGTCACACATTCCCCGGGATCACACAGCGCCGGGGTCCCACCCGCAGCGCTGCCGGCCGCCCATGCCGCGACCCTTTCCAATGGCAGGAAAAACCCACCCGAACCAAACGCTCTCCCTCCGGGCTGCCATCCCAAGCTGGGAGGGCGAGGGCTGGCAGAACTGCGGGCCGGCAATTCTCCTCCTAGCCTGGGATGCCGTCCCGGAAACAATTGCTCCATTATCCTGCAGGCGCTGGAGCGAGGGCCAGCTCCTCCATCGGCGAGGAGAGGGCTGCAATCCCCGGCAGGAAAACCACATCTTCCATTCAAACCTGCTCCGTCCCCTTTCTCCCACAGCCGCGGACCCAGTTTTAATCCCTGGGCAGAGAGCAAAGGCTCCGGGGATGTGCTGTGCAGACGGAGCTCGGGCAGAGGAAGCCGAGCTCGCCCACAGCAAAGCTCCTGGCCCCGCAGCTCGGTGGTTAAAGAGGAAGAGGTGAAGCGAGCCCGGACACGGCGGTTACACCGAGCTCGGAGCAGCTCTCGGGGCCTCGGAGGCTGCACACCCGAGTCCCGTCCCTGGCCCGCACACCCCTCTTGCTGCAAGGCAGAATTTAATCTGCGACAACCCTGCAAATCCCTGCGTGCCCCCGATTCCCGCTTCTCCCCTGAACATCCGCGTGATTCCCCGCTCGGAGGTGAGCCAAGGGCCACGGAGGCAGAGATAGGGCCCCGGCAGCTGGATGGGCTGGGGCAGGGCTGGCCGTGCTGCGGGGCGGCTGCCAGCGCCCAGAGCTGCCCAGGGGCTGGGCGGGATGCCGGCCCCATCGCCCGGCTCCATCGCCCGGCCGGGCCCCCCTCGCTGCCTGCCACCCACCCACAGCCCCGTTGCCAGCCCAGCTTCCAGGCAAGCAGCTGGACTCAGGAATGCAGCCGGATTCCTCTGCTTAACCCCTGCGCAGCCGCCCAAAAAAGCACCGCCGGCCCCTCCGCTGCTTCCCCCGCGCCCCTGCACCCATCCAGCCTCGCTCCTTTCCCCTTCCCGGCCTCGCTCCTGCTTCTGTCTCTTCTTATTCCTCCTGGTGTCACTTTTCCACGGCCATCCTTGATAAAGGCACGACATCTGTCACCCCCCGGTGCCCACTTGTCCCTTGTGCCCAGGGATGCTCAGCTCCTGGGTACCATCCCTGCACTAGGACAGCTGAAAATCGCCCCATTTCCTTATTTCAGCACTAAAAAAGAGCTGCTTTGTGCTCGTCTGGTCTCAAATGAGCCCCCGTCGCACGGCACAGCCCCGGCAGGGCACTCACCAGCTCCTCCAGCTCGGCCAGGTGCCTCTCGGTGATGATCTGCTCGCAGTAACTGTTCTGCTCCGTCTCATGGATGCGGAGCAGGAGGAGGAGGAGGGACAGCAGCAGGGAGCAGCGGAGCAGGCACACCTGAGCACGACACGGGGAGCGTTTGAAGCAGGGATAACCCACACACACGCACCAAGCCCCCTGCCCCTCTCCACCACCCCGCAGCGTGACCACCTCTGTGGTAGCCGGGACTTGGCCACGGTCCAGCAGGATAATCCCACTGTGGTCCTCCAACCCCGAGCCTATCCCCATCCTGCTATTTTTAGGAGCTCCAGGTCAGCAGGGAATTTCCCAAGGCCCGGTGACACAAGCCTGGATGTGGCTCTTGGCCACCTCCACATTCCCGATCCAGCCCCTCTCCCCTCTCCCGCACCATTTCTCCGTCTCTCCTCCGTAAATCTCCTCCTCCGCCCTGGCTCTCCAGAGCCCATCTGACACACTGACCCACCCATCCCCAAAAATCCTCTTCCCACCCTCCAGACCCCCCCAGCTGCACCCGCCGGGCTCTTTCCATGCAGCAGCTCTGGCCTCGTCCCAAATTTCCCTCCCAATCCCCCTGCAAAGAAGCGGGGAGGCCCCGATCGGTGGCGGGACCCCGGTGAGAAGCGGGACTTGTCCCAGCGCCAGGACTCCCGAGGAGGGGGCGGCGGGGACCCTGGGCTGGGGGCGCACCCCCGGCTCCCGGGGCACCGGCAGGGACAGGGTGCCTGGGTGATGGGTGGGGGGGAATTTCCCTTGGATGATATCCAGGAATCCTCCCCTCTTGTGAAACTCCAAGATGCCGCCCGGGCCACCGCCGAGATGTGGCCACGGCTGAACGGAGCCTCACCCCGCCGGGAACGGGGCTGGGGACGGGGCTGGAGCCGGGGACGGGGCTGGAGCCGGGGACGGGGCTGGGGACGGGGCTGGAGCCGGGACGGGGCCGGAGCCGGGCTGGGGGTTGGAGCCTCATCGCGCAGGTCCGGGAATGGAGCCGGGGCTGCAGCATCCCCCCGCCGGCGACGGGGCTGGGGCCGGGGCTGAAACCGGGGCCTCCCCACGCCGGCGCTGAGAATGGTGACCGGGCGGGAACCGGGAACCGGGAACCGGGAAGCGGGGCTGGAGCCGCCGCTTCCCCCCGCGGCTCCGGGGCTGCCACGGCCAACCGAGGCGGGGCTGGAGCATCCCCCGATCCCCTGGCGGGAGCGGGACCCCCGGAGGAGGCGACCCGCCACAGGGGCACGGGGACACCGGGGGCCGCCGCTCCCGCACAGGTGGCAGCGGGGGCCGGGTTGAGGGGGGGTCTCCGCGGCCGCGGGGAGCGGGAGGGGCCGCCGTACCTTGGCTCCGAGGCGGGGCATGGGGGCTGCCGTGGGACCGGGGCCGGGCGGAGCGGGCGAGACGGCGGCAGCGGCGGGGCCGAGCGGGGCCGGGCTGAGCCGCCGCCGCGGCCGCGCTCCCCTTTATAGCGCCGCGGCAGCATGTGGTTTATGAGAAAGCACTTGGCCAGCCGCCAGGCCCCGCGGGGCCCGGGCCGGGCCAGCACCGGGAGGGCACCGAGCGGCACCGGCCGGAGCTGCTGGGTCCCATCTGCACCGCTCGGGGCCCATCGGAACCGCGCGGGTCGGGCTGGATCCGATCGGAACCGCTCGGGTCGTTCAGAGGGTTGGACTCGGCACCGCTGGGCTCGGATCGGCGCCGTTCGGGTCAGGCTGGAACCGCTGGGTTATGATGGGATGGGCTCGGATTTCCCGGAATTGGATCGGCTCGGCGCGGCTCGGCCCGGGGCACCGCGTGTGTGAGCCCCCGTTATCACAAACACACGCGGCGTGCTCACCTGGGCACGCACACATCTGCACAGATGTGCCAGGGACAGACACCAGCCCTGCATGGCCACGGTCACCCAGAGCACCAGCAGCCATGGGCACACACACAGCCCTGAGCTTGGCACACGTGTGTGCACACACACAGCTGTGCATGCATGCACACGGAACGTGCACGTGTGTGCTCACACACTCCTGTGTGTGTATATGGTCACCCCTGGGCACTTGTGAACGTGTGAACGTACACACAACACCCCTGGATGGGCAGGGACACCCCTCAGGGCACACACAGAGCTCTGGGCCTGGCACATGTGTGTGCTTGCTTGTCCCTGGGGACAGACACAGACACACACATAAACACAGAGACATACAGACAGACATACACAGACACACAGACACATACAGAGACACACAGACACAGACAGACACACAGACACATGCACATACACACAGACACACAGACAGACACACAGCCACACACACATATGATGGACACCCATCAGAACGTGCAGGGATGGATGCATTAGCAAGGGTGTGCACGGACAGATCCATGAGCATTGATCAGCCCACGTGAGCACAGATCCATCTGCACGGATGGACTCGCATGTGCACAAGCAGAGGCATCTGCAGGGATGTGCATGGACAGACAGCTGCATACGTGTGCATGATAGATCTGCACAGACACGGACAAATCCTGTGCATGGATGGGTTCACATGAACCTAGACAGATCCGGGGGCATCGGTGGGTGCAGACATGGAAGGACAGATCCATGTGTGCATGGACAGATCCATGTTTACATGGAGAGATCTCTGTGTGCATGGACAGATCCATGTTTGCATGGACAGATCCATGTGTGCATGGATGGATCTCTGTATGCATGGACAGATCCACATTGGCATGGAAAGATCCATGTTTGCATGGATAAATCCATGTTGGCAGGGACAGATCCATGTGTGCATGGGTGGATCCATGTTTGCATGACAGATCCATGTTTACATGGACAGATCCATGTATACATTGATGTACGCATTGGTGGATCCACGCGTACATGGGTGGATCCCTGTGTGCATGGCTGGGCCCATTTGTGCACAGATGGATCCCCATGTGCACAAGCAGATCCCTTTGCTCAGGTGCAGGTGGATCCCTGGACAGATCTGTGCACAGGAATCTGTGAGGGGCTGCATTTGGGGCCAGCAGAGCCACACAACAAGCCCCATTCCCAGCTCTGGGATTTTCCTCTTCGCTGCCTGTTTATTTCCAGGCGACTGGGAGTGATTAGTGGCCACGAGGTGATCCATGGCAGTGCCAAGCACTCTGACTGACGGGAAACCGAAAGCAAACTGCTCCACACACACACACAGAGGGATGCGTCTGCAGCAGGGGATGGTGACAACGGCGGGGCCACGTGTGGGTGACAGCCACCACATCCGAGCATGGAGGGACAGCAGGATCTGCTCCCCGGGGCCGGAAACCCTGCTGGGGCTGCAGAAGTGCTGAGGGGTTTTCTTGGAGCTGAGAGCTGATGCCAAGAGTGGAGGGTTGGGATCAGTGACCTGCTGGAGGAGAAGGGGAAGAGCTGGGAAGCAGCTGGAGCTGGGGACGGCAGTGACAGCCCCAAGATAGTGTCAGATCTGCACCAGCACGTGAGTATCACAGGTCTTGTCACCTTTGGTGAGCCTTAGCAACAGCAGCAGATAAAGGTCTGAAGGTGCTGAAGGTGACAGGTCGGGGAGGGAGGGCTCTGCATGAGAAATCAGCCATCCTCCCCAGATAACCTCTTCCTCCCCAAAACGCTGAGACATCACCCCCATTTTTCATCACAAGCTATTCTGGGAGCCTCACAGCTCCCACGCTGGGAGGACACCAGAGTGGACACCAAGGGACAAGGGTGAGTGATGCCAGCACCAGGGGTGACTCACGGGGACCCCGTGGCAGCACATGAGGCCCTTTCACACCGCCTGGGGCCGCGGGCTGCTCATGTCCCACACACTCATTGCCCTCTGCTTTAAAGGGACAGGAAAAGTGTCATATGCTGGGTCATGGGACAAGCTGTGGGGCAGGGACAGAAGGAGAGCAGGACAGAGGGACGGCAGAATGGACGGACGGGTTAATATTAATCCGCTTCAAGCATGACAGAGGGCGAGAGCAGCATCCGCCTCCTTTTTTTTTGGCAGGGAAGTGGCTTTTGCCCCTCCTCCCTTCCCAAACCTGCTGAAATCCCTGAGTCACGGGGCAGAAACGGGGCTGGTGGCAGAGGTGACAGAGGTGGCAGCTGTTCCGTGCCCACGTTGCAGCCAGAAAACCTGGGGGAGGCAAAATTTAGGGTGGCTGTCCCTCTCCCGGTTGCAAACTGGGATGAACAGTGCTGTCACCATGCTGGTGCTGTGCAGGAATTGCCCCTCTCACCCCACAAGCACTGCCAGCCAAGGGGGGAAGGTGGGATGAGGCTGTGGAGCTTCCTGGGCATCCAGAGGTGCCCACATCTGCTGGCACCAGCACAGGGGATGCAGGGATGGAGGAAAGGCAGGGCAGGATGGCCCCTGTTCCAAAGGGGACTGGAGCAGCCACCAGCACCAGCCTCACACAGCCCCATCTCCACTGTGGCCAAGGCTGGAGCATCCCTCAATTCTCTTGCTCCAGCAATTCCCTCTCTTCCCACCCCCGTGGGAGTGAGAGCACATCCCAACCAATCCCTCATTTTGGGAGACTTTTTTAGCGAGGATAAAACCTGTGGCATATCCAGCAGGGATAAAACCTGTGGCATATCCAAAGGGCCAGGAGCAGCCAAAGGTGGCAGCTGTTCTGTGCCCACGCCGTAGCCAGAAGAACTAGGGGAGCCAAAATTAAGTGTGGCTGTCCCTAAAGGGGACTGGAGCAGCCACCAGCACCACCCCCTGCAGCCACAACTCCACCGTGGCCAAGGCTGGAGCATCCCTCAATTCTCTTCCTTCAGCAATTCCCTCTCTTCCCACCCCCATGGGAGTGGGAGCACATCCCAACCGATCCCTCATTTTGGGAGGCTTTTTCCAGCCAGCAAGCCCCAAAGCAGGGATAATAAAACCTGTGACACATCCAATCCCCCCAGCTGCACCCTAGGACCAGCCTCGGGCTGCCTCTGTGGAGAAAGTTATTTCCAGCAGGAAAATGTTGCAAGGTCTTAATCAGTTCCTTCCCGGTGATTCACCGGAGGGCCAGGATGATCTCCCGCAGTCTCCTGAGTGCTGCAGCTGAGCCAGGACCCGACCAGCCTGATCCAAGCTGCAGCCATGTGTGCCCAGGCTGGAAATCCCCGTGGGAAGGTCCCGAGCCGGTTCCTTCAGGAGTGGAGGAATGTGGCTTGGAAGGCACTTCCCTCCCAGCCGCTGCCAGGGGAGGGCTCAGGATGTCGTGATGAGGCTGGAGCCTTCATCCCACAGCAAATACCCCGCCTCCCCTCCTCCTTCCATCCCTCCCGTGCTGCCTGCTCCACACAGGGACGCTGGAACATGCATGGGGACACTAGGACATCAATAGGGACACTGGAACACCCATGGGG